AAAAAGAGCAATTTTTGCACTATACCGCGTAATAAAGCCGGTTTTCCTCTTTTTTTTAAAGTTTTTGACGTAGAAAACTCGCTCAGAACCTCTCGTGAAACCTTGAAAGGTGGTTTTCTGTAGATTTCGCGACGTGCTCTATCAGTTGGACAGATCAAAACATTTTTTTTAGCTCAAATGGTTTTTCGGCTTGAAAACCAGGATCTTCAAAAACCGCGGCTTTAAAGTCAAAATTAGCCCAAGCCAATATGAAATTCGATTTAAACAAGATTAGGATAAGTTTGTTACTAGAGCTGTTATTTTATTTTAACAAAATAAAAGAGTTTTTTAACCTTTATTCGATGACAAGAAAAAGAAAAAAATTTCAATTGTTAGACGAGTAGAAAAATACTCTCATCCTCGAAGAAGTCCCGGGTTCTTTCTCTACACAGTAGGATGTGACACTGTCAAGGATGAGCTATTCATTCTAGATGTCGCAACCGTAGCAACGTCAGTCATACACAATCTAAACACGTATCACTCTAATGAAACTAAAGATTCTAAACATAGTTAATTCTGCACTGTGAGTAAGTTATTTTTCCGATATTAATCCATACGTTTCAATTCTTGACTTTCATCTTCCTTCTTTCAATTTATTTAGTTTTTGGTTTTTTGCATCAGTTGATTCTAATGTTATTTTCCGCCCAGTTTTTCTATGATTCTTTAAAAATAATAAAAATCATGGACTAGTATAAATGTGTTTTCTGGCTATACTATACCATGTGCACGTGCCAAGTATTTGGTAAATCTTATATACTAAGAACAGAAGGTTCAAAATTATGAACGTATATTTTAATCATCCTGACAACTATAACCAAATAATCACAGAAAATATAATATTTTTATTATATTTCGTAAATTCTGCTGATAAATACGATACTTCAATTTTCCTATGACCCCTCAGGGTTCAAAATATCTTTCACGTCTGTCACATGTTACAACTTTTAATCTCTAAAATCGACTTAAAAGGAAACTGTGACAGTCAGCCAGTAAACAGTAAAAATGAAAACGCAAATGAATTACACCTTTTTCTGTTTCGATACAAGTTCAATTCATAATGTTTATAATCATTAATAAAAATAATCTATATTGTTTTATTTACATTTGTGTACAAACAAATCTACACTGTATAAATGTCGATATTTTTATTATTAGCACATCTATTGGGAAACATGTATGTGCGTATGTCTGACCTTTTATTATTGTTGTTATTAATAAGGGAAAATAGTTACATTAATTTAATAACATAAGAGAGAAGATGGCAATAATAAAAGAGAAAATAATACTAGACTAACGTAAATGATGAATAAAAGAGAAACAAGTGGACTATAGTGCATTTAATAGCATAATTATCATTACGGAAACTTAGCTCTGTATTAACTACGAACAAAAACAGGGAGAAGTGAGAAAGAAAATGTTATTGATTCGATCTAGTTTTTATACTATGTAAAAATAACAATAATTATGTAGTCAACTCGTCATACAATTCTAAAAATCAACTGCGCATGGGTAACAGTAACAGACAAAATAAGAAGACTTATTCTATTCGATTTGAGGAGAAAAAAAATAAAAGTCGGTTAATCGTCATATTGTACCTATAACGTCTTATCAAAATTAGTTAACGGATATTTTTAATTATTGAATTTTCAAAATCAAACTTCAGCCAATGTACTACTGAATTAGATTTAGAAGAAATTTACTATTGTATCTTGGCATAGAAAACACATATTGACATTATTATATGTTGAGCAAAATTCATGAAAAATCATTTAATTTAAAGAACAGCAACATTCTTTATATAATCAAGTTTTTGTTTCTGATATTGTGGTAATAATAATAATGGTCTTTTCTTTCAACATATAATCAAATTATGAGTTGTTTATTATACGAAGTTTCTTTATTCTGCAGATGGTATTGGTGGCCTTTACAGAGTGTAACTTTTCATAAAGTGGAGATGTTTTTCTGTCTTTCATTCTTCATAATACATATCAAACCACTTTAACAAAGAAAACAAGGAAAGAAAACAAAGTTTTTTTTCTGTTTCTTATAGAGACACAATATAATCAATATAATATCATATTCTAATCTGCGAAAGACTATATAATAAAGAAAGAAAAATATCCATTCGTCTTCAGAAACAGACAATTTTAATTGGCAACGATAAAAGGCAATCGTATATTTTCTATTTTGGAATACAATGAGTAAAAAAATCTTTGTCTACACTAAAGAAAACCACATACACGATTCTTCTTTCGTGTGATAGCTCACGTTTTCTTCTTTTTTTATATTGTCATATAGTTTCAGAACTTGATAAAAGAGAATACTCGAAGAAAAAATAAAGGATTGACATTCTTTTTTCTCCTTCTTTGAATATCTTAAATATATTTCTCTAAAGTACACATCCACGCTAATATTTTTTGTATAGATCTCTCTGTTGCTATTGTTAGTGCTGCGAGTGTACGTAATATATCGTATTTTCTTTTTCTTTTCTCTCTCTCTCTCTCTCTCTCTCTCTCTCTCTCTCTCTTTCTTTGTGAAATAGTATCAATACTATTTCAAGGCTTAAATTATCTTCTTACTTAAAAAATATGAACATACATGCCCACTTCGATTATTGTTGATGATACATGTAAGTTGAGATGTATTGTATTTGTGTGCATAGCACCGAAAAAAAAATAAAGTTGGTTTTGAGTTGTTGAAAAGTGCTTTTTTGTACTCAGCACGCTCGATAATCCAGAAGATTTTCTATTTTTGACGAGGGGTACTTCCAAAAGTTTAGGAAAATTTTTCAACCAAAATGGCTCAGAAAAACTTCCATAGGAAAATAATATTAGTTTAAAAATTTTTCCTAAATTTTTGAAAGTACCCTCGCCAAAAATACAAAATCTTCTGGGTTATTGAGCGTGCTGAATGCGAGAAAACACTTTTCAACAACTCAAAACCAACTTTATTTTTTTTTCGGTGATATGCTGAAAAACTTAAGAAAGACGCTTCGAAAGGCTACGCATTTCGTTTACACACAGTTCAAAATTTCTGAAAGGTGAACACTGACATCAGACATCATAAACTTTTTGTTGCAAAATTGATTTGTAATAGAAAAAGATAAAAATTCTTTCCAGATATGCCGAACAGGATTCTAAAATAATAATTATTTTTCTTAAATGAGAATTGAACTTCTATTACTATACAATGTTTTGAGCAATGGACAAAACACTATACTAACATTTTGCTTGAAAATACTAAATATTCTGTTTCTTATCACCATAACATAATAATTGAAAATTTCATGTATCAGATTAATGTTAAGTTTACTCTTTATTTAAAACTACAACTATTCATCACTGATCATTATATGAAAAACAGTTAATAGTCTTCGCACGTGATAGACATTTGATTTATCGAACGAATGATTATGATTCAACGATTACACAATGCTTCCTGTTTGAATCGATGCAAAAATAATCATTCTTATTATCGTCGTGTACACGAATCGAAATATATATTTGTTCAGTACATAATGCTTTGCCATCTCGAAAAACGTTTGATCAGTTATTCAATACAACATTTACAAGTTTTCCGAATCATAACGTTTATGTAACGTTTGATTGTGAGACTCATACGATAGATTACATTGACATGCAGTAGTGATTCGAACTCTGCTTACTACGATGAATACGTCTATGCTTCATACGACAGTTCTACTTCTACACTTAATGACACATTGATCGTGAATGAATGCCACAACAAGCGGTTGTCATAAATTGAAATAATACAGTGTGTGTTATTGATCAATATCTGATGCGCACCTATACATTGAGTGATACAAACAAAGGATTGTGGCAGTATCATGGTAACATGCAACGGTAAAGGTGTCACACATTATCTTCTATACATTATTTGTCACCAAGCTGGTCCAGAGCCAAGAAAGTATTTTTGCTTTCTATTTATGAATGAAACATAGTTAGCAGCAAGATCATCGGCATGTTTTCGTACAAATCAGATTTATATAGTAAAAAGACTGGCGTAGTTAAACGTTTTATATCAGTCCGAAAGAACTATGTGTTCAACATCTCACACACGACACACGAAAGTAGTGGTAAAAGGAAAAAATTTAGTTATACTTTTAAAAACTATTAATTTAAGTATATGTCACATATACGCGGTGAAATGTTTCTTATCACACTAAAATAACTGTTCGACGTTGAAATAATTTCACGATTAACATCCTATAACACCAGAATATTGTGGCTATTTTAATATTTTTCGGATTAGGATCGAGTGCGCACGAAGGAAAAAGTGGTTTTGTAGAACAATTTAATTATTCTCATACTGACGATGACTTGGGCACTGATAATAATGAAAAATTTATGCATCTAAATCTTTTCTATAATCATTTGTGTTATCTTTTATCTTCGTGACTGTCAACACATAGACTTTACGATCTAATCAGTATACGCTGATTGATTAATATAGAGAGAGTGTAGACAGTTCATTTTATTTCAGAGAGGTTTTGTTATGTCAACAAGCGTGCACTCAAGGTTATGTCATGTTTTTTTTCTGGTGTGCCGCTTTACACATCATGATGAGTATTAGCATCAAATCCAAAAAGACAAAAAAAAGAATAAATCATTTTTCTTTTCTTTTTTTTTAAGTCTGGAAAACTAGATGGCCTCTGCTATTTTCTCCTTCTCGTTCTTACTGAAAATAAAAAATATTTGCGTGAGTGAGTGAAAATTGTTTTTTGTTTCACTAACAGTGCTAACCAAGTATAAATCTAACGCATTAATAAGTGAAAAATAGAACAAATCAGGTAATGAAGACGCACAATTTTCTTATTTTCCTTTTTTTCTTTAGCTTAGAACAAGTCTCTAATGGTCGACGTCAAAATGAACTATTGTTGAATCGTCATTTTACTCCATCATTCCTAGATGTGAAAACGAACAAGATCAATATGAGGAAGAATGCAATGGTGTTTAAACAACAATATTCAGAATCATCATCATCATCATCAACAACAACAATTACTTCTTATTAAACTTCTATTATTTTATTTTCGTTTCACATTTTCGCTACAGGAACAAAAATCATCAATCATGTATTATGATGAAACAAAATCTTCTTATTCGATCTGTTCACCGGAACTATTTTATAATGGTACGGATGTACGAACAAAAAATGACTATGTTCAACCGTGTCCTGTTGCTGAACCATGTCGATGTTTATGTGAAGTAGATACAAAACGTTTATGGATTGATTGTTTCTATAAAAAATTAAAATCTTTACCCATACCAACAAATTGGAATCATTTGACTGATACTACTATAGTCACTAATCGAACTAATAATGGAACAACACAATTTATTTCATCTCGTCCAATTCTATGGTGGAATATTGATTTATCATTTAATCTATTTTCAGTTATTGATACAAAGTTCTGGTCAAGTATTTATATCAAACATTTTGTTCTTTCTCGTTCACTCTCATTCGACATCATTCGTCATTTAAATATGACCCATCGGAATCTAATTGATTTGTGGCCAAATAATCAGATTTTTAATCTGACAGACGATGAATATAGAGACATTAATGGCGATAATGACGATGATGATGATGAAAAGGATGGTGATGATATTGAAAATGATCAACATTATTATCCGTCGAGATTGAAACGCTTTCTAACAATCACAGAACATAATAAAATGTTACAACTTTTAAATAATTTAAATGAACAATTAAATTTAAATTCGAAACGAGTTGAAAAATTTGAAATGAAATTATTAGATTATAATATCACAAGTTTATATTTAGATCATAATAATTTAACAGAAGTAAGTTGACTCAAATATTGAAAGATAGTTTTCATTAGAAAGAAAAATAGTTGAGTTTATATGAAAAATAGAATAACAATTAATTTTGTTTATTTTAGATTCCAATTGATTCATTAGAAAATGCCACTCGTATCCAAGAAATTTATTTATCATACAATAACATTAAAAAAATTCCATCGTATGCATTCGGTTTTTCTCATCGTTTAACACGTATTGATTTAAGTCATAATTTAATATCGAACATATCTCTGGATGCATTTCAACGTCATCCAGACGCATTTGGTGGACCATTTCTAATTGATTATTTAGATTTGTCCTATAATAATTTAACCATATTAGATGAACCATTGTTCTCCTATTTAGTTAATTTAAGAATATTTAAATTACAACATAATAATATCATAATTCTTACACCGAAAGCATGGACCGGACTCTATCGTTTAAAATATTTAGATTTATCACATAATCAATTAGATAATCTAACAACAATATTTTATAGTTCCTATCTCAACGAATTAAGACAATTGAAATTAACATCAAATAATATAACAACATTTGTTGGATGTGAATTTTTAACATTAAAAGCGTTAACAAAATTAAATTTAAGTAAGTTTTAATATGAGAAAACTGGCTCACAGTGTTATTATTTTTTCCTTTTCTCTTATTTAGATGGCAACAATTTGTCCGACATTAACTTATGTACATTTTATGGTCTAAATCAAAATTCTAATCTAAATCGTTATTCTCAATCATCATCGTTACATTTACAATTGAAATCAAATCAATTTAAAACATTTAATCCTTGTATATTCAATAATTTTTCTCGATCAACAATTGAAATTGATAATAATCCATTAGTATGCAATTGTACATTTAATTATTTATTGAATGAGAGAAAATCTATCATTTATACAGGTACACAATGTCGTGGTGGATATCAATATGGTCAAAATCAACAACAAATGCCAGCCATAAGAAAAAATTCAATCATCGAAAAGAGTTCATTGAGTTCTAAAAAATCCTTCTTAAATGAATCATATACTAGTCAAGAATCAAAACATGCATGTCGTGAACAATACGCCTATTATAATCAGGAATGTAAAAAGTTAAATTGTTTTCAAATATGTTTACAAAATGAACAATATGTCTTACAAGTATCAACAGTATCAACACCGAGTAGAGCAAACAGTCAATTAAAACAAAATTTTGTAATAATTTACGTTATATCCTTTTATTTCTATTTTTATAGGACATAAATGTTACTTTTCTTCAATGTACTGTATTCATTCAACTGTAGATATAATCTCGCCATATTCATTTGACAGTAAAACGTATCAAATCACTTAAACATTCTTGGTTTAAGACCACAGAACATATCACCGTCACTATTTTATGAATTTTTTCATCGACGCTACTCCTACATCATGTGACCGTCTGGTTTTTGAAAAAATGAATAAACTCGAAATTGCGTCTGGTTATTGACATGTAAACTTAGTATTTTTCTATCAAAGTCAAGGTCTGCTAAATAGAAAGACTTCCCAATCATATATTTTACGTAGTATATGCCAACTTTTGCTTTTAATCCAAGGATAGGAGAAAAGTTAGAAATGTATAAAGAATTATAAAAAACCAATTTTCCTTTCATAAAGTAAGTATTCTTATAAGTAATTTGTTTTTAAAAGTATGTCACATCATCGATTAGTAGTTTAATTATTTCGCATAAGAAAACTGTCAGTACATAGAAACGTATTGAAATCTAAAAGGTTGCGATATATTGTCCGGGTACACATTCTACCTAATGCATTAATTTGGCATTAGTGGATATTGAAAGCTACGAAAATTCCATTAAAAATCATTTGACTAAATAACCTAATAATTTAAATTGCAATCTCAAAAACTTTATGTAGTTAGTTCAAAATATAGTTGTTCAACATATGTCAGAAATTTTTTTATAATCTTCGCTTCGGCTGCGTTGTTTGAAACGGTCAACTTGATTTCAAATTCAAGTTTTCAAACTCTAACTTTATATTTTCAAATCTTTTCTAAAACAAAACCATCAAAGAAATAAAAATGATATATACAGCTGAATAACAACGATAATAGTAAAAAGAAAGCTATTTTAAAATAAAAAAGAAAAGCACCGACAACACGTTAACTACTAAATTCTGGGCTACTATTATACAAAAAATAGAGTAAACAAATATTTGAATATACAAAAGAGAACAGAAAATATACAGGAAAAACTGTTCTTGTTATAACACCACTGACATTTAAGCACGTTGTGATTGTGACTGACTTTTTGTTGTTGAAACATCAGCAATACTTTCTTCTTTTTCAATCTGCGTTTCATCATCAGCGTCACCATTCATTCTAAAACAGGCAAACACAAGAAATTAACTGAGATAAATGATAAGTGAAAAAATCCTGAATTTTCATCAAGAACAAAAACCGAAGTTACTTTAAATCTGTGCTTGCTCTTTTTGATGTTCTTCTTGGTGTAGTTGCTTTTTGAGCGGATTCTGATTTTGATTGTTGTTTTTTCGATGAAGTTTTTGATTTTGATTGTTTTTTCGATGAAATGTTTGCTTTTGATTGTTGTTTTTTTGATGAAATTTTTGATTTTGATTGTTGTTTTTCTGATGAACTTTTTGATTTTCTTGATGAATCATCAGCATCGCCATCATCACTACGAAATGTATCCTGTGTTTTCATTTTTAATAACAGCGGATGAATATGTGGAAGAACGCCACTTTGAGGTAATGTTACTTTTGATAACATTTTTGCCAATTCTTCCTGAAAAGAAAAATATGCGACATCTGCAGTTTTTAATAAATGGTACCGCCTGAACTACAAGAAAATCTCAATTCAACTTCATTTTTACGCTACTTTTCTGCTCCGAAAAATCCTCATTATTGGAAAGCACTGCTTATTTGTTTTTTCCTATATTTGCTCTTTATTCAGACTATGGCTCGAATAATAATAAAAACTTACATCATTACGAATTGCTAATTGTAAGTGACGAGGAGTTATTCGTTGTTTTTTATTATCACGTGCTGCATTGCCAGCTAACTCTAAAATTTCGGCCGTCAAATATTCAAGAACAGCAGCCATATAAACAGCACTACCTCGACCAATACGGTTTGTGTTTCCTAAACAAACGTGGGTAGTCCATATGTTAACAAGATCATAAACTAATGTGCTTTGACAAAAGACAGTCTCATAATGAGATTTTTTTTATCAAACAAAAAATGTACTTATAACTGTGCAGTTTCTCCCAAAAAGCGAATGCTTTATAATAAGTTTAACATTACTAATCGAAATCTTTTCAGATCTGGTTCATCCCTTACCAAAATACTCCCTCCTACAAGATTTCGGCCGATGTCTCCTCCAGGAAAAGATATTTAGCTGCCTGAGAATTTCTTGGCTACACCACTGGTATAAATACACATGCATCTTTTATAACTCGTACAAATAGTCTCAAAAAACTTAGCCGACTACTTCCACGAGATTGTATTCGTTAAAGAGAATTCTAGAGGATCTAGCTTGGAAAAACAAACTCTTGAAGAAAGTTATCTCTATCAAGGTCTCAGCTATCGGAAAATAAGTTAAAGGAATCGTGTTAGAGCCATAGAGCATCGCAAAACATTTCACTTCATAGTTAGAACGTAGGTTCGAAGAGACAAAGACTGCTCTCTGAAGTTTGGATTTTATACAAAAAGCAGACAACTACAACTCTCCTATACTTACCCTTGCGTAATAGACGGTGAATACGACCAACAGGAAACTGAAGACCAGCTAGTTTTGAATGCGAGACTGCTTTTGTTCGAGGTCCACGTATTGGCTTTGGTTCTGAAATATCTTCATTACCATTAGCAGTAACACTCGCTTTTGATGATGTTGATTTTCTGGCTGACATTTGTTTAATAATAAAATACAGAATAACACCTATTAATTTCAATCGCACCAACGAAGAGGGTAAAATAAAACGTTTTTTAAAGTTCTTGACAGCTAAAATATACGTCACACACTGTATTTATAGCGCACAACCTAACCAACGAAGAAGTTCGCAGTCAGCCCATAGAAGTACAGCCTTCTTTATGAAGTGTTTACGCAGTACTTGATTATGTAAAAAATTCTTACGTTTTAATACGGTTTTAAGAAAAATTTATGGAAAACTTAATAGTAGAATCGCAAAAATGACAAAGTGCATAGATATATTATGATGTTACGGGAAAGAACTAGTAAATTACTATCACTTAATCCTGATCCAGACAAGTTAAATGTGAGCGCTACAATAAACGCGATGAGCGATGCTCGTTTTTATGTTAATTGTAGACCTTCGACCCGAACTTAGCGCCTAGCAGAAATTCGATTGTGATACTGTGATCTGAAGAGTACTGTTTTGTTTCAGGTGTATTCTCTATTTAAAAACAATCTTAAGTAGTGTCATATGAGTGCATTACAATTTTACTTTTTTCTGGTTTTAGTCAGGCCTTTTCTTTCATCAAATCATACAAGGGTGCTGTCACACGGGTTCACCCTAATTTACATCGGCTTTCAGCCAGCAATTTCTTACCATGCTAGTTTTTTAGAGCTCGTCGAGTTGTATAAGAATTCATTTTTTACGCTTTAACTGGAAACGTTTTATTTTAACGAAAGACGTGACAAAAATTTTGATGTAAAATGGTCAAAAAAGAATGAAATATCAACTTACTTATCACGAAAATGTAGCTCATTCCCAGGACAAAGCTGAACTCTGAAGCTCTTTGTCTTTTTGAATTATTAGGCTCACAGAGTGCTGATACCGACCAAAATTCGCGACTTTGAGCTCGATTTTCTCGAAAACTACACGTCAGATCTTCGTCAAATTTTGTTCGTGAAGACAATACACTTAGTGTTACTTATGATACAAATTTTAGAAAGCTTATTTGAAAACTTCTTGATATCTCAAAAATCAGCTTTCTAGGAGATCTCCAGAAACGTAACTTTTCGAAACTCTTTTTCAACACTTTTGTAAGATACAACAGCCAATTCTTTTTTGAATCAGACGTCTTCGAGCGTCTCATCACCTATGGTTGTCGCAAAATTGCAGTTTTATTAATGTAGGACGATTTAGAAGCATCTTGCAGTATCTCGGTCCTGTAATGTCAATTACTTTGGCGAAAATCGCCCAATAAAACTCGAAGACGTCTGATTCGCTGTATCTTATAAATGTGTTGAAAAACAGTTTCGAAAAGTTGGGTTTCTCGAGAGCTAATCTAATATCCTAATAACTCAAAAAGACAAAGAGATTCAGAGCTCAGCTTTGCTCTGAGAATGAGCTACATTTTCGTAATAAATAAGTTGATATTTCATCCTTTCTTGACCATTTTACATCCATTATAAAAATGCATGGAAAACCCATTTTGGGGCATATTTATAGAATTTTTTGCCGGATCAGCTTATATGTTGAAATCTTGAAAATTTTGCCACACGAACAACTTCTAGAGCTCTATCGAATAGCTACTTCAAATTTTCCGAAAACGACGTTGAAATAAAAACGAAGGTTACCTAGGGGATTTTTGCTTAAAGTAGAATATTTGTGATTTTTTCATCACCTTTCGCACGATTTTACAAACAAAATATGGTTTTCTAGATAACTCGAGACGCTCTACAAAATGCCACAGTAAGATCTTGTCGGCTAAAAGTTGTGTATAAAGTGGAAGAACCCATAAACTAACACTTACAGGTGTTTTTATTCTTTTTTTATGTGAAATCATTTAATGAATTTTACACTTGCCTTGATAAGTGTTCAGCTGTTTTCAGCTGTTTGATTCACGAGAAGCAATCGGTAAGAAAATAAGAATGAGCAATTCTAATATGTATGATTCATCGATGGATTTTAGTTGATTCATTACAAGAGACATTAAATTTAAACTGGAGATGCACTGAAATCTAGTGGGTTATAGGTTATCGACCACGCTGATTCCGAATATTCATATGAGACGGACTGTTAGACCTTCCTAGAGCGCTTTTCTGGAAAACCAGTTTTCCAGAAAAGCGCTCCAGGAAGTCCCAGCGGCCCGTCTCATATGAATATTCGGAATCAGCGTGGTCGATAACGTATAACCAGAAAGGGATTAGACAATTGTACAGACATTTAATGAATTTTACACTTGGCTTGATCAGTGTTCACCTGTCGGAGGAATGGATTCACCAGAAGCAATCGGTAAGTAAATAAGAATGAGCAATTCTAATATGTATGATTCATCGATGAATTTTAGCTGATGCATTACAAGAGACATTAAATTTAAATTGGAGAAACACTGAGATCGATGTAAGTACATTATATACTTTGTGTATGTGAATCTCTAGAGACAGATCAAATTCGGTCTCAAGAGATAAACAATTTGTGATCGAAGTCTGTATGCAGCAGTATAGTGATATTTGAATGAATCGAATCATTTACTCGTACACTAACATCAATAGTGCCACTGATGAGCAAAAATCTCTTCTCTATCATTTTATTAGTCCATTTCATTTGATTAGCTTCGAGCATTTGAGGTAAATTAGGGTAAGCGACTGTCAAATATTCATCGTTTTTCTTATGTGAAACTTGAATTTCTGATTTCTTCAGATTGAGTGATGTAGATTCACGAAATAAAACCAGATCAGAACGCATGTCTGTAGTTCGACGTAAACAGAAAAGGTAAAAGTCAGAATAGTGTGCTAGCTATCTATAATTGTGGAGAATAGCCAGGAATGGTGGTTATGAGACATTTTTCCTAGTGAATTACATTCGTATGGACGTCTGGAAACATTCAAAGGGGAATTTAATACAATAATTTCGATACCAACATTTGTTAGTTATTGTTTTTATTCAATTCTTATTAGTTATCATTTTTAATTAATCTTAGATAAATGTGTTATGCTTTTGTTATGTTGGGCAATCAAATAATTATAATAAATCGTACATTAATATAAAAAATGTGCGGCAGATGTGACAAGAATTATTTATTAACAGGTAAAATACATTGGCAAAAAGTTATGCACAAGTTATGTCCGTAACAGTAAAAGGCTATAATTTATGAAGAGTTTCAAAAGTACGATGGAGAAAAACTTGATATTAGATTGATTGCTCTTTATACTTGATACATGATCCCCCTAGGGAGTTTTTATTTGTTATAAGGCCTGGAAGGCGAAAAATTTTCCCAGACAAAACCCTAAAAAGTCTGGTCTTGCACAATCTTTCACATATCATATAGTAATAAGGTCTTCGGTCTTTCAAAAAGTGTAAAAATGGAAAAACAGTTTTAGAACGTCAGAGATCTCATCTAACAGACAAGTGTTTATACTTCTGATTTTGCGAATGTAATTATGTCAATTGTTCTCAGTTATTAACCAGATTATTTTATTATTTCGTGAGTAAACGAATAAAAATCAACAACAAAACAAAATATAGTCCATTATTTCTGTACAAATCTTTCGTTGAAAGGGGTATTTAGATGATAAAAAATGAAAATACAGATTTGTTATCTTGAAAAAAGTGAAAAAAAAATTAGAGCGACAAAACACACATAGACACACGTTTTAGATATCAAATAAATAAAAAACTAAGATTAAACAAGATGTAAAGTTTTTATATTTAATATATGCTTGACCGTTGCGGTTTTGACTTCTGAATTAAAAATCTTGTACAAATTGACGTACAATTCGTATAGTTGTTTGTTTTTCATCTTTTGGATGTTTTTTCACCTAAAAATAGGGATCAATTCTTACGAGGAATTTTATCTTAACTCAAAAAAAGATAATTGTTTAACTCTCTTCTCTTCAGAAAATATTTTTAAATGTTTTTCTTATATTCATTTTACGAAGACAAACGTCGAATTCTCTCAGAGCTCGATTTCTGTGAAAGATATATGTTACCTGAATACCAAATTTAAAACGTTCAAGTAAATATTTCCATTTTAATACGGTTTTTTCATCATCTGGATATTTCAAAAATTCTTCAACCTAAAAGTGAATGTATTGTTGATTCTACTATAATGACTTATAATTGAAAGAACTAACTGTACAATTCATCCATTTTTTCATAACATCATCTGATAAACGAACTTTTTCCATTGTACCCGTATGATCACTAATATCCACTTGTAAATCAAATGTTTGTACAATTGTTGTTTCATTCATATCTGATTGACCTAATTGACACGATGGATTCGGACAATATAAATTATTATTATTTTCATCAACCACTCGACCACGACATATTTTACTAAAAATAAATGACAAAGTTTTACTATAAAAAAAAAATCTTTTTAAATTTACTCTTATTACCATTGCTTTGATACATAACGATCAAGACCATTATCAATATCAAATTGTGATAATATACAATTAATTAAAAACATTTGATCATACTGATCATTGCGTATATGTTGTTTCAATTCTTGAATATTAACTTCTTTAGCAGTTAATTCTATAACAAAACAAAAAAGAAAAGAAATTGTGACGTAAAAGAAAAAATTAGTATCAATTAAATGTACGAGCAAATGGATCCAAATCAATATTTAAATCTTCAAGTGAAATATGTTGTACGGCTATAAATAATTCTTCAGCTTCATTTAAATCTACTAAACAAAATAGATATAGTTTTTTAATTATTAAGATCGAAAAGATCGATAACGTACCTGGATTCATCGTAAATATACTTTTTTTTGTTGCTTCAGCATAATAATATTTTAGATATGTATTGTATTTAATTCTAACATCAACAGCAAATATAATATGCTCTTTCGCATTCCATCTTTGTGCATACTAATAAGAAACGAAAGAAATACTCAATTTTCAATACTAGAATTTGAAAAGAGTTTTACCGAAATCATTTCAACATCCCAAATAATCAAATGGAAACCAGATGTATTTTCATCGAATAATAAAATATCCAATTTTTCTTTCAAAGTACCATCACTGAGTGTAACAGTAGACAATTTACCAATCTAGTATACCGAAATTCATAAAATATATCTAATATTCATTAAAATTATAAAAATACCTGTTGTATAGCTGCAAGAATATTTAAATCTTGACCTTTTAATAATTCCCCATCGGTCATTATTTGTCCAATGGTATAATAATCATTATGATCACGACATGGTTTATGAAAAAACATTTTATATTTTGATATTTGTGGACCATGTAATTTTTGAATCAAACATTTTTCATTACAATATAATTCGAGTTTACTAAAATATTAATTAATTATAAACGTTTGTAATGAATATAAAAATATGCATACATTTCTGTCCATGGAACAAATGGTGATGAATCAATTTTTTGTTTTCGGATTTGTGGATAAACTAATGCAACTAAATTTATAAAATAAATTCTTTCACAATAATGGTAAGTATGTAGAGTGCAGAGATAAATAAGATTCGACTGTCTTTTTTGTTTTTCTATTATCGATTAAGTATAATCTTCAAACTTTTTAAAACATTTTCAAATAATAAGTTTTTGTATCCTTAAGGAATCCATTCATATTTGTAACAGGAGAAAAAATCAGCAGGGGTATAAGTTTTTTTCGCAATAAGCTAAAAAAAATTTGAAAGTAAGATAGAAATCTTTTTTGAATTGTCCATATTATTCTGAAGCAAATTCTTTTTCTAAGCTACCTGGAAAAATGTTCTCTCTAGTTGATATTCATGCAAAAAATATTATTGAATTCCTCTTACAGAATTCTGTGTGTTTTCTGATATTTTTTAAATTTTCATAAGTTTTAATTGAGTTGATGATCGCAGGTCATATCGCCATCAGTACTTATGTCATTAGTTTATTTATTATACTTTGTTTATGTAAAACAAAACTGTGAATAACTTCCAGATATAAAAAAACTTACATGACTTTTTGCTGAGATTCCAGCGTGATTTTTACATATCATGATGTATTTTCACGACTTTTTCGCATGATATCCACAGAGGAAAGCGGAAATCCAGAGAACAATTGATGGAGATTATGTAAGAACTCCAAACTGTTTCTCACTATGGTGGGATTTTGTTCGCGAAAGTCGACTACTCACGACCTACTAAAACTTTTAGAAGTCCTCAAAAAGTCTTTAGAAGAAAGGGTAGTGAGTGAAAGAAAAAATGAAATTTCAAAACTGGAGTTTATACACCCACGTCTTCACGCGACTGTCTTGAAATCCTTATAGCAACTCGAATACAAAAGAGAGAATGAAAAGAATGCATTTACCAACGTCGGCAATAGAAAATGCCGCACTGAGCGCTGCCATATCAGAAGGTGGTAACCAACAAATAGCATTAATAAAATATCTTTCTGAATCACGGATAGTAAAATTCATTACGCTTTGTGCACGCTTATTTGGATCTATAGAAAAAAAGTGAAGTTCATTTCTTCAACTATAAGATACCAAAAGAATTATACACTGACCTTTATCCAGAATTTTTAATTCCTGTTTAGCAATGACAACACCACAAACAATCTAAAAAGAACAAAAATCTCTAAATAAGAATTCCAACAAAGCAACAAATCATAGTTCTTCGGTCTCTATCAGTGATTGTTCTTCCAAGTTAGAAACAACGTACTACATCTTTTGCACCTGGGACCAAATATTGAATTGAAATAGCATTTTGAAGCAAAGTGGCTTCGTCCTAAATGAAAATTTGTGTCAATTTTTTCTATTACAGGACAAAAACAGAAAATGTGACGTATAAAACTCACCATGATCATTGCAAAACGAAACAAGTTTTATATGAACTGTTTGAAAATTTGATGAAAGTTGAGAACAGTTGTCTTTCTTCTTCTACTTGCGGTCAAACAGACGTGACGAAAGAATAAGCGGACATGGTATGTACATAACCCATGTGACTAGAGAACAAACAGAAACAAAGAAATCGAGATTGTACATTAAATTGATATAAGCCATTAGTATGATTCTGCTGCATTTTGTGACCTATGATACTTTTAAATCGTAAATTACGATTTGAAAGTATCGTTGGACATTCAAGAAAGTATTTTATTATCTGTAAATTCATATGCCGAGTTACTGAACAAAAGGATTAAAATACGAAAAAACTCTTCATGTTGAAATAGTAGTGAAATAAATACACACTGAGTAATGCCACTCAACAAACTTTTTGTTTATCATTGTCTGGATGTTAATCAGTACCTTATACTACACAAGTTAGAATATAAGTTGATCATTTTGTTGAATAAACTCTGATATAAGAGATTAAGATCAAATAATAATAATAATAATGCATTAATATAGATCCAGTCGCATATAGAGATCCAACCTTTTTCTATTAATTTTTGTTTACAGAATAGAAAAGTTGTTAATAACTCGGTAATCTCAAAGATTGATCTGTGATCTGCGCCACCAAAGTGGAACGATATTTTGATAAATGGCTTTTAATTTGCCTCAATTCATGACTGTTTTGCTTAATATAGCTGAAATTTGAGAAAAGGTCAGCTACTCTGCCGTGTACTCGGGAGACTCTGTAAATATCTAACTGTGAGTAAAAACTTCTCTTAATATTGTTAAAATCCAAAGCATTCTTCATTTTTACTCTATTTTTACACGATATCATCAATATTTAGAATTATGCGTCAGAGATCATTTTCTTTTATAATGAAGAAAATAACGGTTTTTTTTTAAATGTTTTCTTTCACTTAAACAAAGAAATAATATCTGCACACTTTAGAATTTCTAAAATGTTCCTGCTTCTACGCTGTATAAGCATGTTCTCTGCGTGATTTATCTATAGATTAATAGAAGACTGTTCTGTCTCTTGTTGTAATAACAATATTTTGATAATAAGAGACAAAACTAATAAACAAATGATTACCGTGTATTGTCTACGTGATCTATCAAACGCTTCAATTATCTATATTTTACACTCTGAAAGTTTAAACAAAGAGAAATTTCACTTAAAAATAGATCAGGATAAACGGGATAAGCTTATATCATAGTTTATTCCAAATATAGACTATTCCATGATCGTATTATCTTTAAGTAACACCAACTAAAATTCATTCAGTTCTACTGCATTTTCTTTTCCTATTAAATAAGAGAAAAAGATATCTAGTTTTGCATACTCGTTTCAAATACTATGATACACGTTTTTTAATACTTTACTTCGTTCCTGTTGCTGTAACGTTGATCCGGGTTTGTCAGCCTTCTTCCTTATATAAACAATAGGCACATCAAGGCATCTGTATGAGCTATATCAAACAGTGAAAAGAAAAGCATAAAGAGAATGAAATGTATAGTACTGTGCATGATGAATCATTTTCGATCTTTCCTTCTTTTTTTAAATAAAGCTCTTTTTTCAGTGAAAGGGAGAGAGGAAAAAAATTGAAAAAGAAGAGAACTTATAAATAAGTGTATATTATTATAATCACTTATACATACATTATTCTAAAACAGGTACTGTCGGTAATCATGTCGCAAATTGACTTTGACCATTTTAATCGTTCATTATCATTATCGTCATCATCGTGTTCTTTTGATTTTGTTCTTTGTTTGGATACAACCTCGTCAATGATATTATATTTACCAAAAATTCGCCTACTACTGGAATATATGCTGAAAAATTCAAATATAGACGATATTCGAGCGGCACTCATCGAATTTCGAGATCACGGTGAAGAATTTACAATACGTACACATGATTTTGTACAGACATTTAATGAATTTTACACTTGGCTTGATCAGTGTTCACCTGTCGGAGGAATGGATTCACCAGAAGCAATCGGTAAGTAAATAAGAATGAGCAATTCTAATATGTATGATTCATCGATGAATTTTAGCTGATGCATTACAAGAGACATTAAATTTAAATTGGAGAAACACTGAGATCGATGTAAGTACATTATATACTTTGTGTATGTGAATCTCTAGAGACAGATCAAATTCGGTCTCAAGAGATAAACAATTTGTGATCGAAGTCTGTATGCAGCAGTATAGTGATATTTGAATGAATCGAATCATTTACTCGTACACTAACATCAATAGTGCCACTGATGAGCAAAAATCTCTTCTCTATCATTTTATTAGTCCATTTCATTTGATTAGCTTCGAGCATTTGAGGTAAATTAGGGTAAGCGACTGTCAAATATTCATCGTTTTTCTTATGTGAAACTTGAATTTCTGATTTCTTCAGATTGAGTGATGTAGATTCACGAAATAAAACCAGATCAGAACGCATGTCTGTAGTTCGACGTGAATACAAGAAAGAATCAATTAGAAAAAGAGTTGAAATTTATATTGTTCTGGGAATTCTATCCGATCACTAAACGTAATTTATGTTTCGCTCGTCGCTTAAAATAATATGTCTAAAATTTAGAATCAAAAACTGTGTATATTAATAACAGATGCACCCCCTCATGGACTTGGTTGTGCTGATGATAACTATCCTGATGGTTGTCCGTGTAAATTAGATCCATGGTATATTGCTGAAGAATTTGAGCGAAGGGATATAACACTATTAGTTATTGGTATTGAACCTGAAATGACGCCCTATAAAGGTTTTTATTATGCTCTCGCAAATAAAACAGGTTAGTTTATGATTTATAGGTATTCGAATTTTCTTTAGACTAACTACATTTTCGTTTTTTTAGGCGGCACATATATACCGTTTGAAAATGCTAATATATTACCGAAGATAATCAACGGTTCGTCACAAGAATTGTCTATTCATCAAATGTTACGTCATATGCTTGCTGATGATGATTTCGAAATGGATACGCAATATAAATTTGATTTAATCAAAGATCATGTACAACACATATCAAAACACTGTCGAAATTTAAGCGATATCAGATCTTTTTATGGTTATAAACCTTCATCATTTCATACGACATCATCAGATCCATCTTTTCAAATATCTAGCAATAATTATGAAGACAATACCAATGATAAAGATGGTTTAATTTTATCTAAAAAATTTCGTTTATCAAGTGGATCAATGGAAGATGACGGGTATGAAGTTATAATCTACAGTAATGATATCAAATCACACGTATACTATTTTTCGCTTACAGATATCGTTCTCGTTTAACAACGACAAATTCAATTGATTCTTATGTTAGTGAAATAGGCTCATATTGTGATTTGTCAAATTATAAAACGGATATGAAGAAAACAGCATCGCTAACAACGCTAAACGGATATGTGGATTGTGATTTTACTGAGCAGTCAACTTATGAGGATGATTGTTTTTAACTTGGCACGTATGACCAGTGGGTTTATGGTAGTATGACTTTTATTTTCGTTATATGTTTATTTTTATTTAATCGTTCGATATTTTTTTATTCTTTCGTTAATAATCTAGATTCCCTACATTAGTAATTTTAAATCATTGCTCAAAACATAAAATTTTCTTTCTTTATTAAGATTACACTCTAAAAAAAAAAAGATCTGTCTTATTCCATCCGTCTTACTCCTCTATCGGCCTAACTTTTTTTCTTTCGTCTTATTTCTAAAATCCAAGAAAAAGATCTAATTTTTGTCGTCTGAAGTACGAGAAATCATTCACCTCATTTGCTTCGCATTGACTACTTGTATATAGAGAACAGAGGATTTAATGAAGTACAGTTAGAATGTTATCATTTTTCTCTTGTGCAATATTAGATTAAAACTATTGACCCACCCTGATGAGCTTACCTTAACATCCGAACCACTATGAAAAATAAGACAGATAAATTTATCGATCTTAAAATAAGACCCCATAAGTCGGTTGATGATTAGACCCATACATAGATCTTTTGATCATCTATGTATGGGTCTAATCGTCAATCAACTTACGGGGTCTTATGTTAAAACGCATTTTTTTTAGAGTGTACAGTGTTGAATATACAGTAGATTTCTAAATAGTACACTTTAATAAAAAGATGTTCTTCAGTTTTTCAAAGAACTAAAAAATCAATGGAAATTTTGTTCTTCAGCTTTTGTCTCTCTCAATTTCCAAAGAACGAAAACAAACAGTTTTTCAAAAATTGAATAACAAATTTTGAGTTCTTCGGAGCTGAAGAACAGGATTTGAGTTCTCAATTTGGAACAAATGAAGAACAAAATTTCCATTGACTTTTCGGTTCTTTGAAAATCTGAAGAACACCTTGATTTCTAGAGTGTAGACGTCACCTTGTTTGAAACCTAGATGAACAAGTATAGGTCATTTGACAACTCTCATTCACTCTCTCAATCGTAGTTTTGTTTTTAAAAAGTTTACACATTATTTTTAATCATGAATGTTCCGTTTAACTGTGTGCTTCAATAGTCAGACAACTACGCCTTTTATACCGTCCATAAATAACTTTTGATAGGAAAATAAAACATTATTGTTCGAAAACTACTTCCACTAAAATACATTGAACGTTAGAAGAGATGCATGCTAAGTTTGTTAAGAGTCATAGACCGTTTTTCTCTAGTATACTTACTTAATTTAAAGGTAGAAGTCATTACAACATCCAGTGTTATCTTGTATTCAACTAGTTCCTCTTACTCACTTTGTTTCTTCGCATTCTGTTATAGTTTCATTATGTTTATTTATCTATTATCTTAACATATATTTTTTTGTTTTGTTTTTTTATTATAAAACATTCTTGATTGTGTTTGTTTTTTGATGAAGATTACGTTTTATGAACTTTCATTTAGTTGTTTTTTTTCAGAAGAGAAAACTTGGTTATAGATTTTTGATTATTATCTCCCTTTTCTATTATTATTTTTATTTGTTTCTCTTGATCATAAAAAAAAAAACGACAAACTCTTCCTATTACTTTTAGTTCTATTATTTTAAGAATGTATGTATGCATGTATGTGTTTAACGGTTCGTATTATTCATATTTTTAATTATGAGCAAATAATAAAAACAACCAAATATACATATCTTAATGGTAAAAGTCAGACTAAGTATTTCATCCGACATCAATTGGATTCAAATGCAATTTTATTGGATATAGTTAGATATGACACACAAAACTTCAGATGCAACTCATGCATGTTCGATAATTTAAAGTACTCGAGTATTTTAGAGTAAAATTAGTCGAATCTAATCTGTCAATAGAAGTATTAAAACGGCATTTATCAACAATCTTGTAAGTAATCAAATTACATGAAGCTTGTGTTAAGATATTACTCGCACGATGTTTATATTTCTCACTTATTCTTCTGTTAAAGTATTGATTGACACAGCTTACCCCTCTTTACTCAGTAATATTCGATCAAATTAGAGTTAAATCAAAATATGATTCAAAAATTTTGATTTTTTGACAAACAAAGCATATGGTTTACTGACTCGAGTACAAACAGCTCGAGTATTCGTTTTCGCCTGTAACTTGTGCAAAACGTTTACAGATAAACGATTCGCTCTATTTCAAGGTTGAATAGAATAGTAGAAGAATCTTTTTTTCTTCTACGGTTACACAAATACTCCTACAATTGAGAGAAGTATATGATGACAAAATCCGTAGAAAGTAACAGAAACGAACATCGACAGTTTGATAAATTAAATTTCATGAAATCGAAACCAATGCTTGCGATTGCCTTCGGCTTTGTGGTTTATGTACATTTTTGTAGCTAAACATAGTAGCATTTTTGTTCAATGTTAAATTACTTCATTGTTATAGAATGTCCTTTATTAGAAAATCTATGATCATTGGTTTTCTGGTTAGCATTTTGTTCATTAACCTGAAAATAAAAGAAATGTTTAGAACAAAAATCTTGAACGAGATGTAACACAAGCGCAAATCTTATCAATAAGCCTTCCGATAAAGTTCTATGATAACGTCAAATTACGTTCTATTTTGTATGAGAATCATGTAAGAGAAAAATGATTTTAAACTCTGGTATATTAATCATTGAAGGACTTTTGACTACTAACGATCATTGCTAAAACTATCATCTTACCTTTTTTGTACAATTTGATGTTTCTACAACATTTTTTAATAATTCATTTAAACTTTCATTTGAATGTAATGTACCACCATACTGTTTAATATACCTCACTGGATCAGTTTTATTAATACCATCAATATGTTTAACAACTTTATCGACAATAACATTCATATTTTTATATTCAATGATGACTTTTTTTGAACGACGTTTTTTAGGAATCGGTGATGCTTTTTCATAAATAACTTTACGTTTTTGTTCAGGATAGGGTAACCATCTTTCGATAACAATTGGTGGTGGTTTTCTAATAGGTAAAATTGGTAAACGTTCAATAATAACTAAAGAAGAATAAAGTTGACTTTTAAAATTCAAAAAAATTGGTGTACTCACTTTGTGGACTAGGATTTCTGGTTGATGGTATACGTTTGTAAATAATATGTGTTCCTTTGACTTCGGGTGGTTCCGGTGGTCTTTCACGAAAAATAATTGGCGATGGTGTTTTGGAATTTATACATTTATTTTCTTGTATAATAATTGGTGATGCAATACGCTTGGGTTTCTCTCTAACTTCACGAATAACAATTGGACCTGATGGAGGTGGTGTTGGTGGACGAAGAAGACGTATTGCCACTTCTTGTTTCATTACATAATCCTTCGTACTTTTATGAATTACGATTGCCGATGACTCATCACTATCTTGTTTATCCTCTAATGAATCACTTACATTTTGTTGTTGTGTATTATTGTTTATCCATGAGGATAATGGTTCTTGTTGCTGTTGTTGTTGTTGTTGTTGAGGTAAATTAATGCATGTTAAGTCATTGTCAATTTTAATAATCGGATCATAATCAGGCATCATATGAATGGTATTTCCCATATTTGAAAAGACATTCAATTGTTGAATGTATGCTTTATTCAATTGATCAATATTAGACGTTGTATGTATATTGAAATAGTCATCATCTTGTGTTTTAAAATCATAAGATTCAGCATTTAAATCTGTATCTGTCGAATAACCCCATTCTACACTAGCACCACCAGTTGTACTTGTATAATCATCAAATGGTTGTGATGATTGTGGTTGATTTAATGAAGGCATCATTTTTGTTGTAGAAAAACAAAATTGTGGATCAACGGATGAGACAACATATTGCTTATATGGTACATTATTTATTTCTCCTTCCATTGATAAACATCGTTTTTTCGAGGATTCATTTGATTCTTTTTTACTATTATTGTAAGACAAATCCTCAAAACTTTTGTTACGAAATAATAATGTATCCTCAAATGGATAAGACATGGATTGTGCACGACGTCTAGTAGACAATTTTGGTTTTTCATTTTTAAATTTATCATCATGTCTTGTAGAATAGACAGATGAATCTAGTTGAAAACTATCGGCATAAGCCACTAATGATTGAAGTAAATCGTCGTTTGGTGCAATTTCATTTGGACCTGTTTGTATCGTTGTTTCACATTTTAAATTTATTGGTGACAATAAATTAGTATAAAAATTAACAGACTCCTTTGGAATAAAGGAGCTACGAGTAAAATAATGATTTTCTTGAGGATAGTTGTCAAATGGATAAATAGGTGAATGTTCTACTTTCATAAGAATCGAAACATCATTTTTTATTTGTGGATCTGTTCCTCGTCCATAAAACATTTGAGATGGATCAATATTAAATTTTAGATCATTACATAATGAGATAAATGTGGGAAAAGTATAATTTGGATAATTTTGAGATTGTGCTATATTTTTATAATTATTATCTGTAATATGGTGATTAAACATATTACTTCCTCTCATATTTTCCATTTGATAATCGTTCTCAATAATTAATTACTAATTACTTAGTTAATGTTTGTCTGCTTGTATGTATGTGACAAGTCCAAAAATATTCAGTAATAATAATGAATAAACTAAAGAGGAATTGAACATTTGTATGTAAAGGAAGAAAAATTTTAATAATAACTTTCGTTATGTGATTTCAACCGTGACACTTATTGTTTCAAACAACCATGAAAAAGGAACAAGAAAAGAATCAGAAACATAATTATCTGATCAAGCAAATTAATATGCTTAAAAGAAAAGTGCTTGGGTAATTATAGACACAAGGATAAACATTTCTTTAGGAATATGACGATAACGAACGATTGAGCTTTTTTTTTCCTTTTCATCTCCTACCTTTTGATACGTACACATAGAGAAAAGGTAAATGAATAACGGAACGGAAACACCTGAAAATTCGTCCTATATGTACTTTATGGGCCAATATAAGAAAAAAAAGAGCAAAATGAAGAATTAACCTCGATGTTAAAAGTAGCATATTAGAATTTGACTGAATATTTCTAGAGTACATATTTGGAATCAGTGCGATGAGTTACGTTGTACGATGCAAAGATCTCGTCGAGTTTCGACATTTTTTTGGATCCAGATTTTCCACTGTGGATTTTCACGGTATTTCACACTATATATAATTGTAGACATTAAACACACTGCGTCTATTTCTCTTTCCTTGATCTTATTTTTTTCCGTATGATATGTCCTCGTATATATGTCGTGTACAGAACGTTACTTTTCTTTGCAGAAGAAGATAAGAAAAGGAAAAAGTTTTATATTTTTATTGAAATGTTCATTTATTCTATGTCGGAAAGAAGCGGTCACTGTGAATTCATTTTATGTTCTGCCAACTTCGTGATTTAAAATTTAATTAATTAGAAGGGGCCCTTATCCAATTTTTATCTTAATTTGAAGTACACGAGTTATATTATGTTGATGTATTTTTCAGAAAAAAATCCCTTTTAATTTTGAGATCTATGGCTCTTAATATTGATAATTAATGTTTAAAAAAGCATAGTTTCTTCTTTTATATTCGAGAGTTAGATAAACTCTTTTTGACTATCATGACTTTCTGGCTTTCTCTTCGGGTCATGATAGTTAGATGGAGTGTTGACGATTTACTGGCCATACTTGTCTTGTTCTCTTTGTAGAACACTAACCACTAAGTATCAAGTAAATTTAATATGAGAAAGTTAAAAGCAAAATAATCAGACAGAGAGAGAGAGTGAAAAAACACGAAACAAAAATTGTTTTTATAATTTGCGTATGGTATCAGAAAAGTTAAAAAACACATTTTTGTAATCAGCTCGACGCGGGCTATCCAATGGTGTATAATATGTTGCAAAAAAACTTTTGCTCGAAGTTTACATTATTGGCACCTTACTTGATAGCACAAATGATCCGTCTACCTTATGAGCGACTCTGCTCTCTCAAGAACAAGGATATCCAGGCAGCCTAGAAACGGCAATAATCGTCGATTGTCCTATGCTGACTGCGCTTTCTTGATGTGTAAGACATTATAAATGCGTTTTTCGGTTTCACCCGAGTGTGAAAACGCTTGTGAGGGCATTTCATGCATTGTTGACATTTTTTGCCGACACTTTTCATGTCTTTAATAGTGTATGAGTTGGATTGTTGCAGTGAAATGCAAAAGAACGATAATTTCCTATCCTCCGTCAAAACACGGTCGCTGGCCCGCCATTTCTGGAGAAATACGGATAAACGCATCACTCTCGCATCATTTCCCAATATTTTTAATCGTTCAACGCTCATCACTTTGAATGGTCTCTTTTTTGTCTGGTAAATAGACTATTTTTCTGAAAAGTCCAGCTTATTAACCGTTTGAACACCTAGTTTTTGTTTCTAGGAGTTTGTTTGTAGAAGGATAACTAAATGTTTTTTCGTAGGGTATCTCACAGATACGCTTTGATAAAATTTTGTGAACATTACATGTGTCAAAGTAAAAGAAGCTTGTCAGTACGACTCCGGACGAAATTAAACTGTGCAGCTCTCTCACAGTCTGTCCGAAACAGTCTCTGTTTTGAATGGAGGAAATGCTTTTGTTAGCTGATCTTTGTTAGGAGGATATATGAAAATCTTCGACATAATCTATCCTCGGAGATATAAGACGAAAGCGTTCGTTTCGTGTTCAAGATTACTCTCCCAACAAGTAATGAGAGAAAAAACATTTGCTTTGGAAATGCAACACGTAGTTACAATCCTTTCAGAAGTAATCCACTTACTTTGAAATTTCCAGAAAGATGATTCGAAAGTGTCTTGAAGTCTGAAAGAGCTTGACAACGATAAAATGAAGCCCCATTTCCAAGGTGTTGAATGACGTAATCAGCGTAGTTAATTAACGACTTAGGATTCCAAGTTATTGTATATACTGGAAATTTATCCTTTCTGATAATTGCATTTTGTAGCTGGATAGCGCCGGGTACCTCTGGATAAAATATTGATAAATAAAAGTTATTAGCCATAATCATAGCTTCAATCTGTTGAGAAACTGAAGAAAGATAAAATGAGTTTAAAGCAAATCTGTTTGACCCATTCGTGTGAAGACAATATTTGTTTTCATCAATTCCGTCGACAATAAATACAACCGTTTTCTTAATAGAACTCATAACAAATGATGAAAACTTACTTAAATCATCAAATACATTGCCATACATTTGTTTCTTATTAGCTTTGACCTGAAAACCTTCGCCTTCAACAACTGCTAATAATAAATGCAGCTTTGTATACAAATCTTTCCATATATTCATTAAGTTGCTTATTCAACACCACGACCTTGAAATTATGTGTATTCAAAGATTTCTCATATTACATGTGTTGTAAACGATACGAAAAATAACGATATCAAAAATACCGACTATAATACAACATATGACCTTGCTCATTTTCGTTAAGTCGACTAATCACGTGGAGATAACGTTCAATATTAGTTGAAAATGACGAATGCCTGAAAAATTGAAAATGAAAATGACGACCACAATAGATGTTATTGAAACAGCAGTATTTCTTGCTTATTCTTGAAATACATGCGCTACACACGTGGGTATGGAGCAAAAATCTATTCTTTGACCATTGAATGAAAACACGTAGAATCAAGCTTATCCCTATAAAAAAAATTCCACTGCGTACCGATGCGCATGGCATGCCATCGGTCACTGGCACTGGCTGGCACCGGCTCGCACCCGTGCCCAGCAAGTGTCGAAACGGTGTGGACTGGCACCCGTGCTCACCAGTACCGATATATTTCTGCCGAAAGAGTGTCGCACTGGTAAAAATCACTGCCGCATGGGTGGCGTGCTGATAATTTATTTAATCAATTGAATTAGTTCTTTATTATGATTGTTTATGCTGAGTTTTGTATTAGAGTGCGGCACTGATCAGTACCACACTGACATGCCAAAACCATGCGGCATTGCCTCGGCACTTCTCTTATGAGAAGGAAAAGATGAAGTCAGAAAGACATTCGAAATATTAGAAGTAGACTGTAGCGTTTATATAGACAACCCGCTGGGTATCCGGAATGAAAAGTTATGCTCAGAACGGTCTTCCAAACAGACATCATAAGCAACAATAGGTCTCATTCATATACAAAGTCCTATATCCTTTACTGCAGTGAATCCTACACATTCTTGGTTATTCTACTACAATAAGGCTGCGTAATGTTCGAGCACAGTCTATGTGCAGAAGGCAAATGTGTTTCATGTATATAATGGCGTTATGCAATGTACACCAGAAGTATTATGATGTCCGTAACGGACACCCGTCACCTAGAGCATTGAAACCATCCTTTGTGAGTCACCTTGGAAGAGGAATACATTTGCGGAAGTTAAAGTGCGACCTATAGAGTGAATAGACTTCTGTGAGCTATGAGACTAGGAAGAGAAGATCGTTCCGGACGTCCGACGGCTAGCTTTGTCCTAAAAAAATGGATTTCAGTCAAAAAACGGATGTTCGGAACGGAGATTTGAATGGGAGTTCGGAAGGAAAAAATCGTTACCAAAAGTATACTACCCGTCTTTTGTATGAGATAATTATCGAAATCAGTTATTGAAAACTCTTTTTCGACCAAAGGGTAGCAAGAGATATAGTACTTTTCGATATTTTTGATACCAGTAAAGGTAAATGATCTTTTCTTTATTATTCTGATGAGTTTCAACAGCGAAATCGATATTTCCACAAGTAGAGACTGATTACAGGAAATGTAGATAAGTCAGTTTTCACGAGAACCAAAGTATTCCTAGTCGTGAAAATTTTACTGTAAATGCTACACACATTGAGTTGCATTCGCAGTGAAAATTTCATTAAAAATACTCAGTTTTTATTGAGAAACGTGGATTTTGTTTAGTGCCTGTACGACTATGCTGTATATGTGTATATATTAGGTAGGTATGCACCAGTACCGGTACCGGTACCAGTAAAAGTGCTTCACAAAAGTTTAAGACCGTTTTTGTTTTTGCAATAACTCAACTTCCTTGATAGATACAGAGTCCGTTCTTCCGCCAAAAGAAAGCCTACGTTGAGTACTATAAACCCTCAGAAAATGGTTAAGTTCGGGCTTAATCTGACTGAGCTAAAGCAAAAACGCGGTGTTTTACACAATTGGAAAATCTTACTTCCTGAGTATTTCAAGTTTCCTAACCAAGAGAATTGCGCGAAAAAAATTCAAAAACACATCATTCGATAGAAACGTTTACGAGCTATCCGTTGCTGATCAATTTTTCAGCTTTTGAGCATGTCTTCACCGCCAAAATCGTGTTTTAGTTAGATCGGAGAAATCGAGGTTTTTCCATTTTTTGGACCAGCTCTAACTAAAAGAAGTTTTTGCCGATAAAGACATGCTCAAAAGCTGAAAATTTGATCAGTAAAGGATAGCTCGTAAACTTTTCTATCGAATGATGTGTTTTTGAATTTTTTTCGCGCAATTCTCTTAGTTAGGAAACGTGAAATACTCAGGAAGTAAGATTTTCCACCTTGCTCATTTTCGTTAAGTCGACTAATCAATCCACGTGGAGATAACGTTCAATATTAGTTGAAAATGACGAATGCCTGAAAAATTGAAAATGAAAATGACGACCACAATAGATGTTATTGAAACAGCAGTATTTCTTGCTTATTCTTGAAATACATGCGCTACACACGTGGGTATGGAGCAAAAATCTATTCTTTGACCATTGAATGAAAACACGTAGAATCAAGCTTATCCCTATAAAAAAAATTCCACTGCGTACCGATGCGCATGGCATGCCATCGGTCACTGGCACTGGCTGGCACCGGCTCGCACCCGTGCCCAGCAAGTGTCGAAACGGTGTGGACTGGCACCCGTGCTCACCAGTACCGATATATTTCTGCCGAAAGAGTGTCGCACTGGTAAAAATCACTGCCGCATGGGTGGCGTGCTGATAATTTATTTAATCAATTGAATTAGTTCTTTATTATGATTGTTTATGCTGAGTTTTGTATTAGAGTGCGGCACTGATCAGTACCACACTGACATGCCAAAACCATGCGGCATTGCCTCGGCACTTCTCTTATGAGAAGGAAAAGATGAAGTCAGAAAGACATTCGAAATATTAGAAGTAGACTGTAGCGTTTATATAGACAACCCGCTGGGTATCCGGAATGAAAAGTTATGCTCAGAACGGTCTTCCAAACAGACATCATAAGCAACAATAGGTCTCATTCATATACAAAGTCCTATATCCTTTACTGCAGTGAATCCTACACATTCTTGGTTATTCTACTACAATAAGGCTGCGTAATGTTCGAGCACAGTCTATGTGCAGAAGGCAAATGTGTTTCATGTATATAATGGCGTTATGCAATGTACACCAGAAGTATTATGATGTCCGTAACGGACACCCGTCACCTAGAGCATTGAAATCATCCTTTGTTCACTTTCAGCAAAGAAGTAAAGGACTCATTGAGAATGATGAAACTTGCGATATTTAACCTGCATTACAACTCAACTTCAGCAAAGAAGTTAAAGGAGTCATAGAGAATGCTGAAAGCTGGGGTATTTGATTTGCTTTACAACTAAATTTAGGAGCCGTTCAGAGTGCTGAAACCAGCTATATTTGATTTGCTCTACAACTAAATTTCGGCACAGGAGTTAAAGGACTCATCGAGAATCCGGAAACTTGCGACATTGGATATGCTTTGCAACTAAATTTCACCAAAGAAGTTAAAGTAGTCAGTCACTAAGAAGATGGAACTTTCCGATATTTGACATGCTTTAGAGCTAAACTTCACCAAAGAAGTTAAAGTAGTCATTAAAGGAGTCAGCAGCCGGAAGCTTGCGATATCTGATTTGCTGTATAACTGAATTTTACCAAAGAAGTTAAAGAAGTGATTGAGAATATGAAAACTTGGCATATTTGATTAGGTTAAAGAAGTTAAAGGCGTCATTGACAATATGCAGGCTTGCGATATTTAATTAGGTGTACAACTAAATTTCACGAAAGAAGCTAAAGTAGCCATTGAGAATATGGAAATTTGCAATATTTGATTTGCCTTACCACGGAATTTCAGCAAAGAAGTTAAAGGAGGATGAGAATCTGCAGACGACACATTCTCAATGACTCCTTAAGTTTCACCAAGGAAGTTAAAGGACCCATTGACCTTCCAGAACCTTGCGATATTTAATTTGCTTTACAACTAAATTTTCAGAAAAGAATTTAAAGTAGTCACTGAGATTCCGGAAACTAGCGGTATTTTACTTGCTTCATCACCTAATTTCAGCAAAGAACTTAAAGAAGTCATTGAGAATATGGAACTTTCCGATATTTGACAGGCTTTACTGCTAAATTTCATCAAAGAACTTTACGTTGTCTGTAAAGTAGTCGGCATCCGGACGCTTGCGATATTTGATTTGCTTTATAACTACACTTCATCAGAGAAGTATAATGAGTCATTGAAAATCCTGAAACTTGCCATATTCAATTAGCTTTACAACTAAACTTATTTGATTAGGTTTACAACTAAGTTTCACCAAAAAAGTTAAAGTAGTCACTGAGAACATGGAACCCTCCGATATTTGATTTCGTTCACAACTAAATTTCACAAAAGAATTTAAAGTAGTCATTCAGCATATGGATTTGGTATTTGACTTGTTTAACAGCTAAATTTATCCAAAGAAGTTAAAGGAGTCTTTGAGAATATGGAATCTTGCGATATTTTACTTGAACTTTGAACTCAACTTTACCAGCGAAGTTAAAGGACTCATTGAGAATCCACAAACTTGCGATATTTGATTTGCTTTACAACTAAATTTGACCAAAGAAGTTAAAGGAGTGATTGCGAATCCGTAAACTTCCTATATTTGACTTGCTGAATGACTCGTTTAATTCCTTATATTAAATATCGCAACTTTCCAAAATCTGAATGACCCCTTTAACTTCTTTGCTGAAATTTGGTGGCAATGCAAATCAAATATTATATTGATATATTGATATATCAAATATTGCACGTTTGTATATTGTCAATGACTGATTTAGCCACTTTCCGGAAGTTCAGTTGGCAAAACAGGTCAAATATCACAAGTTTATCGCAGCAAATGAAAGATCGCACGTTTGCATATTCTCAATGACTCCTTTAACTTCTTTGGTGAAATTTGATGTTAAAGCAAATCAAATGTGGCAAGCCTTCTCGAGTTTTGATTTGCATTGCCACTAAATTTGACCAGAGAAGTTAGAGTCATTTAGAATATTCAAACTTCCGATCTTTGGTTTGCATTGCCATTAAATTTCAGCAA